CGAATTTCATATAATTTTGGGTTTGTATTTCAAGGCGGGGTAGACATCTGGGTGCTGTGGCAAGCCCCTTAAGATGAGCCTTCTCAGGCCTGGTCTACACTAACCCCCCAATTCGAACTAAGGTACGCAACTTCAGCTACGTGAATAACGTAGCTGAAGTCGGCGTACCTTAGTTCGAACTTACCGCGGTCCAGACGCGGCAGGCAGGCTCCCCCGTCGACTCCGCGTACTCCTCGCACCGAGCAGGATTACCGGAGTCGACGGCGAGCACTTCTGGGTTCGATTTATCGCGTCCAGACAAGACACGATAAATCGAACCCAGAAGTTCGACTGCCTGCTGCCGAACCAGCGCGTAAGTATAGACAAGCCCTCAGATCAGATCTCTGTCTCTCTGTGCAGCTGGACGTGGCCCTGCCTGTGTGCTTGGCTGGAAAAGGCTGGGGAGCCTAGCCCAGCAAGACCAAAAGGGGGCCCAGGCTGGCAGAATAGTCTGCCTCAGTGGCGTCCCGGCACACCAGGTGACATCCCAGGGGGTCCAACCTGTCACAGTACGGTCCTATAGGAAGAAAATCTAAGGGATAAAGGAGTTCAGGAGAGCTGGAAGTTTCACTATGAGAAAATATTAAAGGCACAACTGCAAACTATCCCAATGTGAAGGAAAGATAGGAAGAATAGTAAGAAGTCAATATGGCTCCATTAGAGCTCTCTAATTACCTTAAAATCAAAAGGGAACAGAAATTGCTATGGAGGAGTACAAAAGAATAGCGTAAGCATGTAGGGACAAAATCAGAAAGGCTAAGGCAAAAAATGAGTTACACCTAGCAAGGGACATATAAGACAATAAGAAGAGGTTCTTTAAATACACTAGTAGCAACGGATAGACGAAGGAAAGCATAGGTCCTCTGCTTAAGAAGGCTGAGGTGCTTAATGCCTATTTTGCTTCAGTCTTCACTAAAAAGGTTAATGGTGACTAGATACACAATTAATATTATCAAAAAAGAGGAAGGAACACACAAGCCAAAACAGGGAAAGAACAGATTAAAGAATGTTAGATGTATTCAAGTTGGGAGGACCTGATAAAATTCATCCTAGGGTACTTAAGGAACCAACTGAAGTAATCTCAGAACCGTTAGCTACTATCTTCAAGAACTCTTGGAGGACAGGTGAGATCCAGAGTACTGGAGAAGAGCAAACATACAGTAGTATCTATATTTAAAAAGGGGAACAAAGAGGACCCAGGGAATTATAGCTCAGTCAGCATAACTTCAACCCAGTCCCCTGCACATACGTGGACCCTGCTTTCCATGCCCTCCAACACCTTGCACTCATTTCCATACCCCTTTATCTTCCCCAGAATTCTCCAGCACCTCCATAGTCCCCTGCACAAACCCTCTCATACGTCTTCCAGATCCTTGCACACACACAATACTCGTGTCTTAGTATCCCTACATAACTCTTCCCTGCTTTCAACTTGCCATCCTATGTCTTTGATGCTCCCTTTCTCCCCATACTCATTCCAGGTACACCCCCATGCCACCCTGTCCTACCTCTCACCTCTGGCTCAGCTCAGCAACCACAGCAGCAGTCCCTGAAGCCAGGATGAGGTCAGTCTACTTTTTAAAATATTGCTCTATATACACTTAAAAATAACTATTTCAGTGAAATGCTCCCTGTATGGAACACCCCCCCCTCCCCCCCCAAAAATCAGATATTGGCATTTGTCAGCAATGTGAACAAAAATCAAAATGAATTTGATGTAGCCCAAACCATCTTGAAAATAAAAAATCTCTAACTACTTTTGGGTGGTTGCAAGTGAATGACAGGAAAATTATTTTTAACTTTTCTGAATTCTACTAAGATTACAATAAAAGCTTGAGATGAGATGCAGCATTTAAAAGTTTTAGAGACACTGGTTTCTTTTTGCGCTCTTTGGGAGAAAAGATTTAAAGTCAGATTTATAGGGAGAAGATAGTTTCAACCTTAACTCTAGGGAGGCTACCACCATTCCATAAGAAGTTGTCCCGGACTGTAGCATGTAGTTCATAAAACTTCATACTTAGCCTCTTCTCATCTGTGCCACTGTAGATTCTGAAGGCTGCTCTGGGCAGTTGCACTTTAAAAACAGAAATATCTGCCCACAACCCCTGTAAGTGTTAATAAGCCTTTATGGTCAAACAATGACATCATAAAAGCCAGCTCAAAGGATGCCTGCAGACTTAAACTCTGCTGGTTGCTTTGTGTAAATACTAATAGCCGTACAAGCAGCCTTTCAGACCCAGATTTCACAAAGCACATGCTTAACCTTTAAGTATGTGAGCAGCCCCACAGAAATCAATAGGGCTGCGCACATGCTTAAAGTTAAGCATGTGCTTAAGAACTCTGCTAAATGTAGCAGGCCCAAGATTTTTATTCTAAGAATGACTGCTTTCTATTGTTCCCTCTAATGGTTTATAGCAGCACGTGAGGGTAGCACATACTATAGTTTAAGACAGTGGCTCTAACCTTTCCAGACTACTGTACCCTTTTCAAGAGTCTGATTTGTCTTGCATACCCCAAATTTCACCTCACTTAAAAATTACTTGCTTACAAAATCAGACATAAAAATACAAAAAAGTGTCATAGCACACTGTTACTGAAAAATTGCTTACTTTCTTATTTTTACCATACAATTATAAAATAAATCAATTGGAATATAAATATTGTACTTACATTTCAGTGTATAGTATATAGAGCAGTATAAACAAGTCGTATGTATGAAATTTTAGTTTGTACTGACTTCACTAGTGCTTTTTATGTAGCCTGTTGTAAAACTAGGTAAATACCTAGATGAGTTGATGTACATCCAGAAGACATCTGCGTACTCCCGAGGACACATATACCCCTGGTTGAGAACATCCATTCTAATTCACTTATTCTGTTATTCGTTACTTAATAAATCTAATTCTTTTCAGGCTGAAATTTTCCAAGTTTTCCCTCAGCTTGGAGGTGATTTTTTTGAGGATTTGGAGCAAATATTTTATTCACCCACAATTAAGCAGTTATGCATATATAACACACACTTTTCCCTATGCTGCAATCAGAAATGTTGTACCTGGATATGAGTGTGTTAATGCACTTCTTAATTAGAGATGATCTCATAAAAAGGCTATATCTAGCAATCTGAAATCAGAGTGTGCTGCCTGATCTTGCTAATCTCTATCCAAGATACACGCAGTCACCTATATTAGATAACCATTACACACAATCATCAGCATAGCAAAAGCAATTAAAAGAGATCCAAACATGGAGAACTTAAAAGTCTGACACAGAATTCAGCGCAGGACTATTGTTTTAATCTGTTTCTGTCCCATCCCGCAACACCCACTCCCACCCGCATTGTTTGTTGAATTTTTATCTCCCTATTATGGCAGCGGGTTCTCAGAGACCTGCTGGATTCCAGTCCCACTGCAGGGCTCTAGTCTGACAGTTAGGAATTCTAAACTGTAGCTAAGAAATATGCCCACTGAAAAGAAGTTAAAGATGGAAGGGACCTGGAATTTATTTAAGAGAGTTCCCAGTTACCTGCGTTGATTTGATGGAAACAGACTTTTTTTGTCTATGCTGTTGGAGGCTATTATAATGTGAAGTTATTTTGTGTCGAATATACATTACACACCTGGTTTTTGCCAGTGTATCCTGGATGCTCATAAAAAGTGCAATAAAACCTTACTTTCTGGGGAAAAAAGTTAGAAATGGAAATGACAGATTAGGTCATCCAGTCCCTTCCACCCAACAACCCAAGGGCCAGCGTAAGAGCGTTTTATGCCCCAGTGCAGAATACTCAGAGTGAAGCCAAGTCCTGAGTGGGACATGCATGGTCTCCTCCCATCAGTAGGGCCCTACCACATTCACGACCATGAAAAATGCGTCACGGACCATGAAATCTGGTCTCTGCCCATGAAATCTGGTCTTGTGTGTGCTTTTTACCCTATACTACACAGATTTCATGGGGGGTCCTGACCCAAAAAGGGAGTTGCAGGGGAATCGCAAGGTTATTTTAGGAGGGGTCACGGCATTGCCACCCTTATTTCTGTGCTGCCTCCAGAGCTGGGCAGCCAGAAAGTGGCAGATGTTGGCCAGGTGCCCAGCTCTGAAGGCAGTGCTCCACCAGCAACAGCACAGAAGTAAGGCTGGCAATATCATACCATGCCACCCTTACTTCTGCGCTGCTGCCTTCAGAGCTGGGCGGCCAGAGTGGCAGCTGCTGACTGAGGGCCCAACTCTGCAGGCAGCAATGCAGAAGTAAGGGTGGCAATACCATACCATGCCATCCTTACTTCTGCGCTCCTGCTGGCAGCGGCTCTGCCTTCAGAGCTGGTTTCCCAGCCAGAAGCCACTGCCCTCCAGCTGCCCAGCTCTGAAGGCAGCGCCACTGCCAGCAGCAGCACAGAGGTAAGGGTAACATACTGCAACCCGCCCCACAATAACCTTGCGACCCCCAACAACTCCTTTTTGGAGCAGGGTCCCTACAATTACAACATCGTGAAATTTCAGATTTAAATAACTGAAATCATGAATTTTTTAAAATCCCATGAGTGTGAAATTGACCAAAATGGACCGTGAATTAGAGATGCCATAACAGCAGTTGTCCACTCAGAGAAACTACGCATATAGATTTTGTCATCAGTTTCTCATGTTGTCATTAATATAGCTAAAAGCCATCACTAAATCACACTTGATTTAAGACAAGTGGCTGGCAGTTTTAAGATCTACATTTATCAACTTTTTGGGGTAAAAAAATATTTGACAGCTTGTAGCACTTTCCCAAATATCTTAAGAGGGTGGAGAAATTAATGGTGTGGAAACAAGAATACCAGTAACAAAATATATTTTTTAAGTCTTTCCAGCCCCATTTAATTGCTATATTAAATACCCATTTGGGAACAGTAGTCGATGGAGCAGTGGACTAGACTGACAGAGCTAAAGAGAAGGGAAAGCTGCTGAATGGGTAATATACTCACAGGAGTTGTGTCTACGACGGAAACCTTTGGACTGATTCAAGGATTCCAAATGTCGGTCCATGTAGCTCTTAGAGCACTGCTGCTGTTGTGGGGAGATGACAACTTCCTGATTTTTCATGTCCGTTCTCCTTGGGATAGCCTGTGGGGCACTGCTGGAAGAGGTAGGCTTCTTTAGCAATTTGCCAGTGCCGTTTTGATTGGTACCCACTTGGCACCCAATGCCAGGGATGCCCAGTTCAGTATGCTGCAGGTCCCCACTCTGTTTGCTGTCCCCAGGACCTGGGATCTGCAGAATCTTTAGCTCAGTAATATCACCTGCCCTAAACACAGGAAAGAGAACAAAACAAAGTAGGATTCAATATTGGTGCCCACCTCTACAGAAATCAAGCCCCTAGTATGTTAGAGTCTGCAGCAGCATCAGAATGACATTTTTCTCTTAATTCACTGGAACCCAAGGGAAAAAAAAAACATTAACATGGATTACAATGCCTATTAGGAATACACACACTTAAAGACTATATTCCTCAGACAATATATCTGACTCTTCTGGTCCTGGAAAGAAGTGAACCCCAAATACCTCTTTATCCCACTGCCTCTGTACCTAGTCAGAAGTGGGGGGAGACATGATTGGGTAGAAATCTGCTTGAGTTAATAGATTCTAGAAGAATATAGGTGCTATGACTAATCTTATTTTTCAGGTGACTTCCCTTTACCATAGTCTGTTCTATTGAGAGCAATCCCTAAAACAGTGAAACTCAGAGAGATGGCACTTAAAAGCTCCTTTGAAGGTCATGAAAACTACAATGCAGTACTGGAAATAATCCACACTTTCATATAATAAAGGAGTGGGTGCAAGCTGTTAACTAGTCACTCTGGAAAGAGTGGTTATAAGATATGGTCTTAGACTTTAGATTTATGAAGAATAATCAAACTTCAGAATGAATCTATTATACTGAGATATAAAAGTAATGTTGTTACCAAGACTGAATATGTTATGGACTTCGATACCTTTACCAGCATTACATGGATTCTTCCTTCTCTATTCTCCCCCCACCTCCCACTCTGAGTTTCAACTCTCTAAGGCCTGGTCTACACTGGGGGGAAGGAGGGTAAATCGATCTAAGTTACGCAACTTCAGCTACGTGAATAACATAGCTGAAGTCGAAATACTTAGATCTACTTACCACAGTGTCTTCACTGTGGTAAGTCGACGGCTGATGCTCTCCCATCGACTCCGCCTGCGCCTCTCCGCCTGGTGGAGTACCGGAGTCGACGGGAGAGCGCTCGGTTGTCGATTTATCGCGTCTAAACTAGACGCGATAAATCAACACCCGCTGGATCGATCACTGCCCGTTGATCCAGCGGGTAACGTAGACAAGCCCTAAGGAAGAGAGACTCCCTAAGGTTGCTATTTAATCTTTGTTTAGTAATAAAATAGTTAAATCTGTGTATTTATGGAAATAATTTAAATCTGTGTATTAACTTTGCCAATTTGCACTGATAATAGAAAAAAATCTTTGGTTACTAATCTTTACTCTTCTCCAATAACGTAACAGGGGAGCTGGGGGCAGAGGTAGAGGGCAGGTAATTTAGTAGAAGAATAGCAATACTTTCTACACAACAGTAGGCTTGTTAGTTTTGGATGCTGTTGGTATGTCTCTCCAAGGCCAATCTGCACCAATTGACTTGCGAATTATAGAACAAGATTATTGTGTCAAAGAGAAGAGAATTCTTGCCAGACGGATATCAAGAGCTATCTAGATGAAGGAAAAGAAAGTGGCAGAAGATAAGACAGATCTGAAGATAAACATGCAGTTGGAGCCATAAAACGGATTTATTTGGGGCAAGGATCTAATTTAAATGATTAACAGCTCCACTTTCACTTCAGTAGTGCTTTAGCAAACACAAACATTAAACTTGCCATTGGCAAAAATTCCACAGAGTCTGCCAAATGTCTCATCTAACTGTAAGCTCGAGGACAGGTAATACACAGTGACTCTGTGCAGACACCCATTTTCTTTGCTCCTACCAATGTGTTCCAATTGTGATCTACATCTGTGTCACACTGTAACGCAGACAACAAAAAGCCCAAAGACAGCATCTCTTGCTTTCTGTATAGGGCCTAGCAAAAGCAATACAGGCACTTTTCAGCCAAGGATAAGCAGTAATGAGTTTTGAAGCAAAATGTCCCAATTTCAGCCATATGTAAAGTTTGCTTGGAAGAAGCAGACAGAGGAGACACTTACCTGAAGGTGACCTCTGGCACGAGGCACTTGACACCATTATGGAAAGGCCGCGTCAGGGAGATGGTCTGGCTGATCTGATCCACAGCCGACACTCGTCCCTGATAGACTCCCAGGCTGTCTCCACAGTTAATGGACACAATGCTTCCAAGCCAGTCTGTAGCCATATTTCTGACACGTGATCACTATAAAATGAAGACAGGATTGGCTGGCAAGAAAAAAAAAATCAGGAGACTGACAAACCTAATTAGCATCAGCTATATCCCCCCATGCCACAGTCCTAGACCACATCTAGGCCCTTACTTTGGTGGCCTGTCTTTTCATAGTGGGACAGGGATAATACCTATATATACTTTAAGATCCTATTTAGATTGTAAGACCCTTTGACAGAGACCATGCCTGTAGGCTTGTCTGTAAAGTACTTAGCACAGTTTTGTTGCTACATAAATAATACTGGATTAAACAGTCTCACACAACCAGATTCCATATAATGCTGTAATCTAAAAAACACCAATAATTTTCTGTAATGCATTCCAACCCTGACTACTTTTCCTGGGGTGTTCTTGTTAAATTCCAGTTCAAGTATCTAGATCCGCCAGCCTACATTCTCTCTGGAACTTCAGTCACATACCTCTGTCCTAACTTCCCATTCTAAACACTTGTGTAGTGATAGTGGAACAGAAAGATGGAGCTATAGCTATATAGGGTAAAATTCTGACCTCACTGAAGCCAGGATTTCACCCATAAAATACTATTATCAATCCCACAATTAGCTAATTGATAAGTTTTAACATAAAACAAAGTTCAAAAATTACTTTGTTTGACAGTAACTGCGTATATTTCAAAGGGCAAACATTCTCATAAATACATATGGTGTATTTATTTAAATACTTGATCCACCAGTCTCCCCTCAATTCTTAATTCTAGAGTCTCTGGGAAGTACAACTTTCAATCAACACACTGAAGTGACTGTGCATGCCTTTCCATGTGTGGAGATGTGAGATCCCTAACCTCTGGCTGAGTTACTGGAGTCCTCAAATAATGATTTAAAGACTTCAAGTAACAGAATCTGCCATTTACATTAGTTTAAACCTGCAAAGTGACCCGTCCCATGCTGCAGAGGCAAACCCCCCAGGGTTTCTGCCAATCTGACCTGGGGGAAGATTCCTTCCCAACCCCAAATATGGTGATTCGTTGGACCCTGAGGCCTTGGCTACACTTGCGAGTTACAGCGCAATAAAGCCTCCCCCAGCGCTGTAACTCACTCCCCGTCCACACTGGCAAGGCACTTACAGCGCTGTATCTCCGTGGCTACAGCGCTGCATGTACTCCACCTTCCCGAGAGGAATACCGTGTATTGAGCCGCCGCTGCAGTGCTGCGGCACCAGTGTGGCCGCCCAATGCGCTGTGACTGGCCTCCAGAAGTATTCGGCAGTATCCCACAATGCTTGTTCTAGCCACTCTGGTCATCAGTTCAAACTCTACAGCCCTGGCCTCAGGTAACCAACCATGTGACCCGCCCTTGACATTCCCCGGGAATTTTAAAAATCCCCTTCCTGGGTTCCGGGTTCTTCACGCCACCAGCTGCCTCCTACATCAGTATCTTCACCACCCAGCCCTGAAAACCACGACCCTTACCCTCTACACTCAACCCCCATCACCAGGCAGTATAGCTATCCTGAAGTGCAGCA